CCAGTGCAATATAAACACGTGTGGTGGCTCACTCCTGTAATCCCAGTACGTGGAAGTGAAAGCAGAAAGTTCAGGAGTTCAGGGTCATCCCCGGCTACTTTGCGAGTCTGATGACAGCCTGGGCTCAGCGGAAGAACATTCGCAAGTAAAGGAGGAAGGCTGCAGTTTTCGTTATGCTGAGGCTGAAGTAAGACAAACGCTTCCGCCCCCTGAGAAGAGCCGGTTACTACTGAGACACTCTTTCCTTTTCTGGGTGTCTTCCCCATTATAGTCTATGATAGTTGGTTACTTTATTTAAATATATGGGACAAATAGAGCACTTGACAATTGCTAACATAAAAAGAATATCTAGAACAGAATTTTGTCTGCTATTTTAGACAGGATAAAGCAAGCGTTTCCAGCCAGTGCCCTCATCTGTGTGAGCGCTGGACACACCCACGCAGCAACCTTAGCAAAGGTTGTTAGCAACCTTTCTTGACCTTAAGGACTTTTCGCTTTTTTCAAACCAGAAGTCTGCTTCCGTTTCCATTTTTAATTTTCTCTATGTAATTTGTTTATCGGGCTGTTTTAAAGATTTTTTTCATGTGTGTGTGTGTCTGTGTGTATCTATGCCATGTGCAGGGTAGGGAGTAATCCACAGAGGCCAGAAGAGAGCATTGGATATCCCAAAGCAGAGTTACAGACAGTTATGAGACACCCAATGTAGATGCTGGAAACCAAACCTAGGTCCTCTGGAAGAGCAGGAATGGCTCTTAACTCCAGAGCCATCTCTCCAGCCCCTATCTGGATGTTTTTAAAGAGGGTTTTGTTTATTTGTTTCTGTTTGGTTTGGTTTGGTTTGGTAGGGTCTCAATGTATAGCCCTGACTGGCCTGGAACTCACTCTGTAGACCAGAATAGCCTCCGACTCACAAAGACCCACCTGCCGCTGCCTCCTGAGTGCTAGGAATGAAGGCGCGTGCCACCACACCCAGAAAGATTTTCCCTTTGTCACTGGTTTCTTAGAAGCTGGTGTGAGATGTTGCTGGGTGTGTTGCTCTGTGTTTATTCCGTTTCGGCTTCACTGCACTTCTTGGATATCTATGCGTATAGGTTTCCCAGATTTGAAATTCTCCAGCCATTACTTCCCACACATACATGCTTCCTCCTCGTATTCTGACATTCAAATGCCGGTTCTTCTCTTCTGTAAGCGAAGATACAGCCCCAACAACAGAACAAACTGACAGTTCTACCCATTTGGTTGAGCCAGTGAGCTTTCCGGGCTTTACAAAAGCCAGGGTGACTCATAACGGCTGCATTGCCAAGGCAATGTACTCCGTCATGGCTGACAGCCCCCAAGAAGCCCAACTTCAGTTAGCCCCCAACCCCTATATACTCTAGCGTCTTCCATGAGCACATGGAGGAGGGAATGGTCAATGGAATCCCAGGTGACAGTCTTGTTACCCTCCTCCCTTCCTTCTACAAATTAAGTATTTAAAGCTCAACTGTATTCCCATTCCTGTAGACCTTATTGTCACTGTATTGGCTTATTCCGTTGCCATGACTACAGTGCTAGAGTAATCCCTGCTGGGTGATGGGAAGGAAAGGGATAATCATGTTATACTAGAGGAAAAAGGCATACCACAAACACCTCATATAAGGCCTCTAAGGGATGAGTCCAGCAGCCACAGTGGTTGCTTCCAGGATTGTTTAAACTCTATACTCAGAGTGAAGCATTGGGTGTAGGGGAAGAGGTTGCTGATACCTTGACAAATGAGGAAATAGGTACGTACCGATGACTTTCAGCAGTGAGCCCCTCACCTCCATGCAGCACCGCGACTAGAGTTCTCCTGATCACCCAAGATGCTTCCGGAAAAAGGGAGACTTAGGGCCCACTCTAAAGCTTAAAGCTAGCTACCGTCTAAAAGACTTAGTGAGAATCCTTCCTCTGCCAAATCAAGAAACAACAGCAGGCGGCTGCATGCTCCGTCCTTGACTTCACAGAACCAAGTCCTAACAACAGTCACAGAAAGTCTCTGTGGGTGAGGCCGTGGCTTAAATAGGCTGTCTCAGGATGGTTTCATTCACAAAGCTTGCGAATTAAGTTTTCCAGTACATTTCATTCTTAGAGGTCAGTTCATACCTGACATATTACAGAAAAGGCCGTAGCACAGAAACCCACGAATGCAATGGCCAGGCCAACGATGCAACTTTGTCCCCCAAAAGTGAAACACTTATTTCACCTTCCTGGACTGGGGGAGAAGGGGGTAGCTACCAACCCAGAGTAAGAATTTCGTGTATGCTAGAGAGACAGAAGTTACTATATCTCTTCATTTGTGTTTCCTGTTGGAAAACTTAGTCACACGGCCACACCTACCCACAGGGGAGTTGAGGAGACAGCCTCCAGCTGAGCTATGCAGAGGAGAATAGATGGAGCTGGGGACAGGCATGGTCTTCTACACCGCGCTGTAGGGAATGGATGGAGCTGGGGACAGGCACGGTCTTCTACACCGCGCTGTAGGGAATGGATGGAGCTGGGGACAGGCACCGTCTTCTACACCGAGCTGTAGGGAATGGATGGAGCTGGGGACAGGCACGGTCTTCTACACCACGCTGTGGAGAAATAAACCCTTCTTCAAGAACACTTTCCCTCTCAGTCTCCAGCACACACGGGGTTCACAGTGCTGGCCGTATATAAAGCCACTGCACCTCGACTAAAGGGATCCTGAGCCCTGTCGCTCATCATCCCAGCACTTTCGGGTCGAGACAAGAACAAGTGAACTTCAAAGCCATCCGCGGCCACATAGAGAGGTATAGAACAGCCTAGGCTACTTGAAACCCTGTCTGAAGAAAGAGGCCCCGGACAGTGGTGGCACACGCCTTTAATCCCATGGCTTGGAAGGCAGAGGTCTGTGAGTTCAAGGCTAGCCTGGTCTACAGAGTGAGTGCCAGGACAGGCTCCAAAACTACAAAGAAACCCTGTCTTGAAAAACCAAAAAGAAGAAGAAGAAGAAAGGGAGGAAGGGAGGGAGGGAAGGAAGGAGGGAAGGATAAAGGGAGAGAAAGAGAGAGAAAAGGTGAGAAATGGAGAGAGGAGAGGTCGCAAGAGGGGGAGAAAGAGAGAGAGAAAACACTTTACACTTTCTAGAAAGTTAAAACGTACAGTCTTATCACCAAAGACTCTCATCATTAACTCCGTGGAAAACCCTACGCACTGCCCTAGCTGAGACTGATTTTAGGGTTGTCTGTGTGTCTATGTATGTGAAAACTTTAACCCTTGTAGAAACAAACTCAGTAGAAAACCGCCTGGAACCAGATAGTGATGCCACATCCCTTTCAAGTCAACTCTCAGGAGGTGGTGGCAGGTGGATCTCTGTCTGAGTTCAAGGCCAGCCTGGTCTTCCAGGACAGCCAGGGCTACATGGAGAAATTCTGTCTCAAAAAGAAAGAAGGGGGAAGGAGGGAGGGACAGAAAGAGATGGGGGGAAACCACCTGGTGTACCTGGGGGGAAAATGTAATCCTAAGTCGGTACCTCTACAGTTCAAGTTCTGAAAGTATTCCCTCGCTGCTGTTTCAGGGTAGGATCTGGAGCCTATGAGCAGGTAGTGATCAAACGCTAGAGGGGATGCGGGCCGTGGACAGACTCACCGGTGGACAGACGCTTCCCTGGGGACGTGAGCTGTGGACACCAGGTGTTTCAAGGTGTTTTAGTCAAGCATGTGAGAAAAGCAATGAATTCATTTTCAAAGCGAAGTTCATCCGTGCAGAGGAAAGCAGCGCTGGCTCCTTCTCAGAGCACCCCCCAGCATCCGTACCAAGCCACTCGCCCACCCTTCTCGGAGCAGAGCACCCCCCAGCATCCGTTGGGAGCCATCGCCCACCCTCCTCCGAGCAGAGCACTCCCCAACGTCTATCCGCAGCCATCGCCCACCCTTCTCAGAGCGCCCACCCTTCTCGAAGCAGAGCACCCCCCCCCCCGCATCGGTCTGGAGCCATCGCCCACCCTTCTCGAAGCAGAGCACCCCCCAGCATCCGTACCGCGCCTTCGCCCACTGAGGGAGCATGGGAATGGAGGGTAAAGGCCTGGCCTGCCTCAGCACCCCTTCTGCTTGTACTTTTTTTTTTTCAAATTTTTAAGTAATCAACTTTAATTGCATGATTTACAACAGTTGAAGGGTTTTGCTTTCTGTTTTCAAGTTTTACAGAACGTGGGGGTGGGGCAGAGCAAGGAAGGGAAGAAACTTGGGACATTTGCCTGTTAGGGTCACCCCGCTGGCCATCTGCTTGTCCTTTCGAGGCACCCCGAGGAGGGTGGCACTGGGCACATCTGAGTGTGATTTTGGTGTCCCAACACAAAAATCCAAGGCAGGGGCGCTCAACAGCTCTGGGCTGTGTCTAAATTTTACATTTAAGAGACAGTGTGGGAGGTCAGTTTAAACTATCAAAATAACTATCAAAATGCTATCCAAATAACTGTAATTCCTATTAAGTAAATCTTCCATGTCCCACTACCTATAGCATGGTCCTAAGCGTATTAACGCCTTTACACAGTAATTGACAGAAGGTGGGTGTCTGTGCTTTGGGACTTAAACACTTTAAGTACTTCATATTTCTAAATGTTTCCGACGTAAGTCAAAGGGCAAGTGTGCCCAAGTCTGAGACAGCTGGACGGAAGGAGCGCTGAGCCTGTGCCTCTGCGGTGTATATTGTCCCTTGCCGTTACTATCAGATGGGCTGCAAAAGCCCCAGCCGCTCCCTGTAAGAGTCAAGGTGAGCTTACTAAAGATCAGGATGTTAGGCTACCGAAGGCAAGCTAGGAGAAAAACTCGATTATGATCCATCCAGTGCTGAGACTTGCTGGGCTCAGCAGTCAAAAGGAAGACTGAGATGCTCAGTCTTATGTGAACTGACACTCCCCATGCCATGCTAATGGACAGACGTCTGAGCGGCTGCTGGATTTCACTGTCGCCACGAGACTGGCACGTTCCTATTTTAGCCTCTTTGACCAGAGACTGTTTTCTTTGCTGTGTCAGAGCTGAGCTGTGTGAAACCAGCGTAGACTGTAACATACCTCTACTACAGCTTTTAGGGTGCAAATATCTAGTCTGGATCCATGTTACCAGCACAGCACACAGCTGTGGTGTTTCTGATTTTTGACAGTACCCGTGTAGAAAGAACTAAACTTCCCTTCGCTGAAGAGAGGCATGAGGTGGTACAGAGCCAGCAATGCCCCTTCCCCACCTTCACAATCATGTCTGAGTACACAGTAGGTCAGCACAGGCTTACTGTGACCAAGATCCTTTTGTGTTGACAAAGTAATAGAGTTATGTTTGAATATCCAGATTGGGAAGTTTGGAAAAAAGTGGAATTGTTCGTGTTAGAATTTGCATTTTAATATCGCAAGAATTAGGTAGTCTACATTAATCCAAAACCGATGTTACAAATAGATGCTGATGTGTTTAAGCAGATGACACCCCATTTTAGAATGTTGTGAATACTGAGAGAGGATTTTCTAAATTATGCTAGGACATGTTTGGAGGTTGGGGCATTGACACGGACATCTTTCCCAGGGAAGATGCCATCTGCATAGGTGAGGACATGCTTCTCAAGGGGGCACATCCACTGTACGCTACAAAAAGATCAAAGGACGTTTTCACTAATATTATTTAGAGATGTTTATTCTGACAATTTTAAAAGCATACTTTTCTATTTTAAAATATGATTTCTAGGCTATATTTTTATTGGCACTTCTGCAAATGATTTCGGATCCTAAAGATGGCAGTTAATAACACTGGATTGTGAGCATGGCTCACCGAAGCCTCTCATCAGACACATACAAGGTGCTGAAATCAGGGCAGAGTCGCTGCCTTACTTAGCCTGGCTGCTCTGGGCCCTCTGACTTTGTACAAGATTAGGTCTTGGTATTTTAAATGATACAGAATCCTTTTCAGTCGGTAGAGTGTTTGCCTGGACCACACAAAGCCCTGGGTTCAGTCCCCAGTACATAACCAAGCGTGGTGGTGCACGCCTGTAACCCCAGCACTTGGGAGGTGGAGGCAGGAGGATCAGATGCTTAAGGACATTCTTGACTCCATAGAGAGCTAGGGGTCAAACTAGACTGTAGGATGCCCTGTCTCAAAAAGGAAAAATGAAAATGTGAAGAGATCTTGAAAACTGTAAAAAAAAAAAAAAAGCCTTTTTTTCTTTTAGCAGCTACTAAATAATCTTGACCTATATATCATTACATAATAAAAAAAAATCACTTAGTAAGTAGCAGCATTGAGTAGGAAGGGGAAAGACTGGCTGTGATGCTATAGGCGGCAGAAATCCGAAGTCTCCTTCCCTCGTGCTCCAGAGTGTGAACTGCATTCACATTTCAGTGCAGCCCTTTCGGAGGGGTGAAGGGATGGATGCTTGGGTGCTCTCCTAACCCTTACTTCCTGCAGGGCATCTGTTGTCAGTCTCTCAGACACGAGGCTAGGTACCAAGTCTACTTTTCATTCTGCTTTGAGCTTAGAAGACAATAGACTTGGGAAAGTAGAGGCTTACCAAGTTATTCTTTTAATATTTAGGCCAAAATTTCAAGTCCAACCTTGGAGAATGTTTAGGTATGAACTGTGTTCTTCTTCCGTCCTAGAGAAAAGACCACCCGCACTCTTTAAAGCTAGTGTTCATGACCAGAAGAGAGCATCTAAAATACCTTGTTCAGAAGAATGCACGGGCCAGTCAGGAGAGTGCCTCCTGCCGCAGGCTGATGCCAAGGCCAATGGCGACAAGCCCATATAGGATGTGAAGCTTAGGAAAAGGCAGAGGAGGCCCTGAACCATCAGTTTACACTTGAATGTGAGCTCCCTTTGGTGGTGGCATTCAAGGCTCCTGAGGACAGACAACTAGTGTAGATTAACACTTTTGCTATTAAAGTCTTGACCAACAACCCTAAATGCCACCATCTCATTCCAGCATAAAGCCATGAGAATAATATCCAAACTAGATTCTTTTCTACATGTTTTTGTGTTTTTAGTTTGTTGTTGTTCTTTTTGTGTAAAACTGTGAGCCACAGAAGTTGACCACTTAACTTCCTTTGTTATTAGAAGGGGGAAAAAAATCTTCAACTAGTCTCCAAAATGCATACAAATCCAGTCTCACAACTGAAATCCCAGCACTTGGGAGGCTGAGACAGGAGAAGCAACTCCAGATTCTCATATTTCCATGTTAAATAAACCACTTTTGAAGCATGAACTGACAGTTTCATTAACTATTTCGCCGAAGCATTTCCGAACCCTTAGGCTCCCGCGTTTAGCACAAATCTCTGAGAGACACAGTGAGCTCATATGACGGGATTGTATTGCTTTCTCTACAGGTCTTTCATGCAAGCATTTCAGAAATCCAGTTCTCTTAGATGGTACGTCTTCTGAATATAACCGAGTAGGGTAGCTGGGTCTGCATTGGGTCGCTGTGCGTATTGGCTTAGCTAGGTGCTGTGCATGATGCTAGCAGATGGGCTATGAGGCTGAGATACTCCTGTAGTCAGCCTAAGTCAGGACTGCCCTGGAAATGAGGCTGTATTCCCTTCATCAGAAAACATTTACACCAACTGTTTTAAATGGTTATGGGTAGTCTCCCCACAAGACAAAGCTGATAAAAATTTTGATTTGCAATGTGTTCTGTATTTTCCAATGTGTCTGTTTATCTGACTTATCTAACTCTTTCACCAATGTTCATTGGCCAAATTCAGTGTAAGGAAAGACAGACTATAGAAGAATTTGATGAATTTTGACAATCTGTCTTGAGGGTTACCTTCCTCTATATTATTTCAGTCATTTGGAGTTTACACAGACTGTTTATGAAAAGCGTTATTAGTAACTGAGGAACAGCTCAGCAGTAAGGAACGTTCCAGCATGTACAAGACCTGGGATTGGTCCTCAGCGCTGAAAAAAGAAAATGAAGTGATTCCGTCAGTATTCTGTTCTAATACTTGGAGAATGACCTTCATGTTTATATATTTTATGTCTTATGTTTTAACTATACAGTGATAAAATCCAGGAAATGTTTTATAACAAAATAAACTTTTGTTTGTAAAATGTTTGTAATAATGTAAAAGTGGATCTTATACATGTTCAATAAAAAGCAGTATCTCAAAAGTCTAGATGTTCTTAATCTTTTTTTAAGATTTTATTTTTGTTATTTTCATCTACGTGTGTGGGGTTCACATGTCAGTGTGGCACTTGTGAAGGCCGGAAGACTTGAAAGCCCTAGGGACAGAATCAGATCCTCGACCACTGAGCCATCTCCCCAACCCTTTATCTTGTAAAACATTGGAAAGCCAGGTATGGCGGCCCATGCCTGAAATCCCAGCACTCAGAAGGCAGGGCGAATCACCATGGGTGTGACGACAGCCTGGGCTACTATTGAGTTCCAAGACAGCTTGGGCTACAGATAATTACTGTTTCCTCTGAGCCCTCGGACTGAGGTTCACAGCCTTGGAAGGTCTCTTCTACTCTAGGAGGGCCTTGCTGATCGTCTGTAGCCTGTACTGCAGCCAGACTCTAGGCAAAAGTTAGCCAAGTGCCCCCAAGTGCCCCCAGTAACTACAGATACCCTTCAGCCAATAGGACTCTTCCTAGGATATGGTTACCCTGTCTCTTTCATTGAGCAGGGTTCATGAGTAACCAGTAGCTATTCCCAATGAAAGTGAAATCAGGTTCAAATATGAACCACACAGACAGCAGCCACCCACCACTGGTAGGCTATAGTCAAAGAAACTTCCCAACTAACGTTGTGGGGAAAGGGAAAGGGAACTGGGCAGGACTTTAAAAAGCTGATATAAAGAAGTCTTCACTGTCACCTGAACCCAAATACGTGGGAAACTGGTTAGCTGTTGCCTGGGACAGTTTACCGCGGGCGGTGGACTGTGAAAGTCTCGCTCCTTCCTATTCAGCAGCTGTTAAGCTACAACTTCTGAGTGATGCAGTAACCTTATATCTCTGCCCTGGCTGAGGATTTCACTGCCTCTCACCGTGGGTCTTATGTCTGTGGACATAGCTTTTACCATTTCCAACAAGATCTTTTTAAATATTTACAAATGCTTTTGGTATTGCTACCCATATCTGTAAATGCTTTGGGTGGGATAAAAGGGCTCCCATAGGTTTTTAATTTGTTGTAAAGATACTTCCTAAAGTTCTGCTAAATAAATAAATAAATAAGGATTATGGTTGTTTTTTTTTTATTTTTTAATTTCATTCAGAGCCACCCAGATCCTTGTTCAGACCTTTCTCAGCATTAGCTAGAAGGACCCTCAGAAAGGAAACGCAGCACTGGGCCCTCCTTCAATGATGCCAAAACAGCAACTGGAAGCTAATAAAGAGCTGTGGTTAGGGCTTGAGGCCAGATCCTTGCCCCCATTGTCAGGGCCCCTGGACAGGGCAGCTCATAAAAGGATTGACCGCGAAGCATCCTACTGGTTGGTGAGAGGGGATACAATAGGGGCACAGGAGGGAACTGCAGTGGCATTTCAATTGTATCTTAATAAATAAAACTTGTCTGGGGATCCGGAGAGTAAAGCAGCCACACTGGTCAGTCTTAGAGTCAGGCAGTGGTAACACGCATCTTTAATCCCAGTAATCACACTAGTTGCCATAGAAACCGGGCAGTTCATGCTTTGAATCCCAGTGGTGCATGCCTTTAATCCCAGAACTAGAGGGGATTATAAAGTGGGAGGAGACAGCTAAGACTCAGTCTCATCCTGAGATTCCTGGAGGCAGGATCGCCATTTTCCGACTGAGGTCTAGGTGAGAGTCCGTGCCTGGCTGCTTGACTTTTTGGATCTTCAGGCTGAACCCCAATTTCTCTACCTCAGCTTTTATTAATCGTGCTTCAGGGAAGAGTCTCCAAACCCATCCCCAGGACACAGGCTAACTTGGTACCAGATCATAGCAAAACCAGGCAGGACCTCTGACCTCTTTGCTACGTCTCTAGCCTGGAGCTCCCATTTTTCTCAGGATCTGGTAGTTTTCCTCTGTCTCCTGACTGTTCTCCTTTTCTTCCCTTTACCTATTGCAACCTGTGTGCCACTGTTCTAACTAGCGTGGTGTCAGCTTGACACAAGCTGGAGTCGCCTGGGAAGAGGGACTTGAGAAAACGCGCCCGCCAGGTTAGTCTGTGGCATGTTTACTTGATTAGTGTTCGACTTGGGAGTGCCCAACCCTAGAGAGAGGTGGTCCTGAGTTGTATCTTAAAAAAAAAAAAAAAAATGGGCCGGAGAAATGGCTCCGTGGTTAAAAGCACTGGCTGCTCTTCCAGAGGTCCTGAGTTCAATTCCCGGCAACCACATGGTGGCTCACAACCATCTGTAATGAGATCTGGCGCCCTCTTCTGGCGTGTGGGCATACATGGAAGCAGAATGTTGTGTACATAATAAATAAATAAATAAATAGATCTTTTTTTAAAAGGGGGGGGGGGAGGCTGAGCAAGCCGTGGGGAGACAACCAGGAAGCAGCGTTCCTGCATGGTTTCCCTTGATGGTGACACACTGTGCTGTGGAAATATAAGCCAAAGGGACCCTTTACTACAGCCAAAACCAAGCAGAAAAATCAAGCGAAGACAACTACTTCTCTAGTAATAGTTCATAATGCAAGTTTCCGTGTGGATGACGTAGGAAACCATCAGTAAAATTAGTCTAACCCATGTTTATGTAACCATTAGAAAGCAAACTGGACAGGGTCAAATTTAGGCCCTGGATCTGTGATACCTGGTCTGCGGGAAACCCTCTAACGAGGAAATGTCAGTCAAAGGCATCCTGATGAACTGCTTCAGATACACTCCTGTGCAATTACAGCTTGGCTAAGTGGAGGTGTCTTCTCAAACTGGTGTCCTAGCTTTGTTTTCGGTCGGTCGGTTTGGGTGTGTGCTTGCTTTGCTTAGCCACAATTCTAGTCAATGCTATAGGATATGCAGCTACTTTAGGAAAAGTGCGCCACCTTCTGGCACTGGGCCGCAGTGACTCCCAAGTGATCCTCCATCCGCACATATAATTCCATGGAATAAAACCAAAGCGTGGGGGCGGGGGGGGGGGAACACATTGGATATTTTTTCAGTAGCAATTTTAAATAATTCAAAATATCTGTCAAGAAATTTGTATCAAGTCTTTTGCCCAGGCTGCATAAATAAGGTGAAATGTTTCCCTGTGGTGTGGGGTTAACGAAAGGTTCTGAAAGGGCAGGTCCATGAGAAGACCCACCGGGAAGAACTAAGTGAAGACACGATAAAGCACACATAGAGACAGGCCGGGACACAGACACCACAGTGGGAACGCAAGGGTCATATAGTGAACACCCGGGGTCCCGGGGGTCAAGGTTAATGGATGTAGATGCAGTGTTTCTAGGAGCAAAGAAACTGATTTAACCAGATTTGTCTAATGCTGGCCTGGATCACAGACTGCAGAATGAAATGGGTAGAAAAAGGTAATTACAGTGTGAAGGCAGAAGGGATGCAGGCAAAATGTATATACAATTTGGCAGGTGTAACAGGCCTCCAGACCTTAGCACAACTGACTCCATGATACAAGTGCCGTTCTGGCTGTAAAACTCAGCACACAGACAGTACCACCTGCCAAAACAAATCAAAGACCTACTCCATCAAAGTCCATAGTTCTGGAAAGTCTCGAAATGGACCAATCTTGCTCTTTGATTTCTGTAGTTCCACTTTTGGCTAACTGTTCTTATTAACTAAAATATGTCAACCCATAGCATGGGTTTTGTGCTAAAAACTCACCCTGAGAAAGGCTCAGCGCTACACTGAGATCCCAAACACCCAGGGTAATCAGTGGCCAGCTAATAAAGACTTTCTGTTGACTTAAGTGCAAGTCCTGCACATCAGCAGGAACATTAAAAACCCAGCAGATATGTCGGGGGCATGAACTTTTGCAAGGGGTGGAGTTTTTAACCAGCATTTGAGGCTTCAAAAAAGTATTATTTTCTGTACAGATTTCTATAACTTCCAACTCCTACCAGCTTGTTGTGATGTCTCAACATTGTGCCCAAATGTTCTCTCTGCCAGTATTCAGAGAGGTATGTGCCTCATATATATGTATACATTGATAAACTGTGTAGCATCCTGCTCAAGGTGGAAATGCATTGTTCTTCAAATCTTTGGAGGATTCGTCTGCCATTGCTGATGGTGTTCAGTCCATGGCTTCGTGCAGCTGCTGAACACAGCCATGGGACCAGGGATGGTGGGTATTGTCATTGAGATCCAATCCAGGGGAGAAAACTGTCTTAATTGGAATTATTCCTTGGCCACCACTGACAGGGCTGTGGACACTATGGATGCTGCAGTGCCCGCTAGAAAGGCTGTAGAAGGGAAGCTTGGACATCAGAAAAGACCAGGAACTGACTGCTGCCACGAGGAGGGGCGGCTACAAGAGTTTAAAGGACCAGGTCTCACATGCAGATCATAAGGAAACACCTTGAACTCTAAGAATGCTGGGAAAATAAGCTTCTGTGAAATCACAGAAATCTCTCCCAGTTCTTGCTATCCTTTCCATCTTGAATGTCTCCCTGAGAGCCCCGGGCCGGGGTTGGGGGTGGTGGTGAGGGTGCAGCTGGGAAGTCATGAACCCTTTAAGAGGTGGAACACCATGGAAGATCTTACATCGTTGGGGGTGTGCCTTTGCAGCATTGAGACCGTGGTTCCTTCCTCTCTTTTGCTTCCTGGATGCCAAGGGCTGTACTATGAGGTCTGGCCACCATGGGCTGCCATGCCCCAGGCCCAAAACAGAGCAAAATGATCTCAGACAGGAACTTCCAAGACCGTAAGTCGAAATGAAACCTTTGTCCTTTTAGCTACCTCGGGTATTTTGTCATGACAGCAGAAAGTTAAGCTAGAGCCTGGAAACGGGAGCCAGAGGCCATGGCTGGTTACCTGTTTCACATATAGTCTGGGAATGTGGGCCCTGTTGGGTGCCAAAAACTAAGGCAAATGTTTAAGTAAAATTCTGCCTCCTACAAAACCACATTCTTTGTTGCCACCGAGCAGTTTACTCATTGGAGAACAGACATCTTGAATTCCTATGCTTAAAACTATGTGGTTCAGGGGGTGGCTCTGTGTTTAAGAGTGCCAACTGCTAAGATGATCTGGGTTCAGTTCCGTTCGCCCACATGGTGGTTCATGACTGACTGCAACCCCAGTTCCAGGGGGTCCGATGCCCTCTTCTGCCCTCAGGCACCAGCCGCATGGCAAAACACTATACACATACAAATTAAACAAGTAAATAATTCCCTAAAAGCTGTGTGGCCCATTCAAGTGAAATGGGGTGGGGTGATGGTGGGGTGAGAAACAATGTTAGTCCTTGCAAAACTGGGATCTACCCTTAGTGAATCGAGAACAAGGAATATTTGCTAGTTGTCTCTAGAAAGGGATAGGAAGGGCTAGCTCTTGAGGAACATTCCTTTACATTCTCAAGACTAATGGAGGTGGGGGATGGTCAGTGGTTTAGAGCACTGGCTGCTCTTCCAGAGGACCAAGGTTCGATTCCCAATTCTTTGTGACAGTTCTTATGTGACTGTCCTTGATTCTAGTCCCAGGGAATCCTATGCCCTCTTCTGGCCTCTAAGGGCACTGCATGCACATGGCTCACAGACACAGATGCAGGCAAAACACCCTACACACAAAATTTTTGAATACAGCAATTGAAGTTTATAATTTATAACATGAATTTCTATACACAACTATTAACATTTTGCAAAAGAACATGTTGTCAATACAGAATGGAGTACATCCAGCTGCATTTATAAGTTGTTAATAACAAAGTCGCATCAAAAATATACAATAGGGGCTAGAGAGAAGGTCCGGCCGCTCAGAGCACCTGTTGTTCCTGTACAGGACTGGGATCCGATTCCCAGCTCCCACATTGGATGGCTCACAACTGCCTGGAACTCCAGCTCCAGGGAATCCACTGCTCCCTTTAACCTTCACAGACACCTGCACATACATGTGCGTACACATACTTAGATACACACAAATATCCATAAGACTTAAAAGGCAAATATTTAAAATATATAGTAGTAAAAGAACAAGGATAACAAGTGTAAAAAATTCAGACACTTAAGCCATTTGGTGGGGAGTTGATATAAAATATAGACAATCAACTGGATTCTATACAGAATAGTAGGCGGAACCTGCTCTTCAGGGAGCAATCGATAGGAGAAGCCAGGAGTCCCCAGGAGGCCATGAGATTGTGGGTATTGAAGATAAAAAGAATTAAGGCATTGCTAGCTTTACTTTTTCTTTCATAATTGAAATCGTAAGGCTGTTATAGGAAAAGTAACTTGCACAGTGCTTGTTCCTTTGTTTGGGTTTTGTTTTCTGTTTGTAGGCAGGGTCTATGTAGCCCTTGCTGACCTAGAGCATGGAATATAGGCCAGGTTAACTTCAAATTTCTCTCTGCCTCCTGAGTGTTTAAACTGCAGGTGTGTGCACCACATACAACAGAATCTTTTCTTTTGTGCTGCTAAGGGATCAAAATCAGGCCTCGAGCAATCTGGGAATAAGGGGATTTGGAACTTAGGTGCTGTTCTGTGTGTGCTTTCAGGGAGATTTAAACATAACCTTCCCCATCAAGACTGCAACCATCTGGGGGTTGGAGATGTAGCTCAGATAAAGTGCTCGCCCGGCATGTATGAAGCCCTGGGTTCAATCCCCCAGAGTTCTGCAGATGACAGGTATGGTGCCACAGGCCTGTGATCCCAGCACTTGGGAGGTGGAAGCGAGGGGCTCGAGGGGCTACATGCGGAGTCCAAAAAAACAGTCTCAGACACTTTAAATTCAACCAGAGCTTATGCTTGCAAGAAACCGACTTCCTCTCTATCCATCAACTTCTCAGCAGGAACCAGTGCTTAGCCCAGAAAATACAACAGCAGCAAATATGCTTTGCTCAGAATATATGGACCATATACTCCTAGTGGGAGCTCCCCAGCAGGGCAAAGAAAGGAGGGGGTTAAAGGTACACAAACCCCTGTGGCTGGGACAGAGCTCGGCAAAGCACCTGCTTAGCATCTGCAGGGGCCTGGATTAGATCCCAGCACAGAGAGAGTCTTAAATGTCGCCAGATAATAGATCCTAAAAGAGCCCCCTCGTTCCAAGGCTTGAGAGGTTTCAGAAGGGAAGGTAGCATGAGGCCTTGGGGCCTCAAAAAGTGCAAAGTTCCCACCAGACTGGGAGGGGATGGGAAGGAAGAGGTCTGTCATTCAACACTGAACTTCAGCAGAAAGGTTCAAATGAGTTGTGGTATGAGAGAGAGTGGAGGTCTCACAGGTGACAGGTTAGGGGCGAGGCCTGGAGGGGACATGGTTTCGGCAATCACCATTCTGCAGTGTCTGTCTGTGTGTCTGTGCATATGTGTGTGTGTGTGTGTGTGTGTGTGTGTGTGTGTGTGTGTGTGTGTCTGTGTGTGTGTCTGGTTAGGAGCAATGTAAAAGTCGCTCTGTAGAGAGCAGAGGGCACCGGGCGAGTGTGAGGTAGTGTGATTGCACTGTTCTGTTTCCAGAAGGCTGCCAGGTGCTTGGCCATTCAGGCTGAAAAATAATTTTGATTTCTAACTACCACAACACTTTCTCATCAGCACGTATAAGAGCTTCCCGCTGTGGCTATTACACCTCATTTTACACAGAATTGGGACAAAACTCCCCTAGCAAATCTGATTGTTCTCTGCATTTGATTTTTATTGTGTGGGGGGAATATTTATTTTTAGCTTTTGTTTTTCTTGAGACAGGACCTCATGTAACCCAGGTGGCTTCAAACTGACTATGCAGCCGAGGATGACTCTGAACTTCGGAATCTCTTGTCTCCACTTCCCAAGGGCTAGCATTGCAGGCACATCCCCGCTGCACCCGGCTTGCATTCTGAGATTATAGCAGTAGGGGTTGCGATCTCTAGTCTCCTCGCTCTTTAGAAGGATCATCCCTTGGGTGCTGCTAAAGGATAAGGGTGTGGCTTCAGAACAAGGGCCTGAGCTGGGCTCAGGGGTAGAACATCTGCAGAGCACACACGGAGCCCTCGGGTACAGACCCAGAACCAAAGGAAAGAGAAGAGAGCCGATAGCCACAGACTGAGCCTTTCAATGTGCAAAGGCGTTTATCAAAGCTGGGAAGAGCAAGCCAAAGGCTGGAAGTGTGGCTCAGTGGTAAAGTGCTTCCCTAGTGCGTACACAGGCTCTGGGGAAGAGGGAGAGGTAGGCACAGGAAATGCAGACACACAGGAAAGTGTTCCCAATAGCACTGGTAAGCACATAAAGGGTTTGTGGGCGAGGGGTTATCGGGCCTCAAGGGAACTGATGGACTAACTTTGGAGGAAGATACGATCGAGGGCTTTACCATGGCTAGAAAATGTGAGTTCTGCAAAGAGCCATGATGGGCAGGGGACGCTGAGGGAAGCCTTGGGCACAGACATGGAAAGGTGAAGAGGGGCTTCTGGGTGTGGAAAGGAATGCACACCTCTGTCTAGGTCGTGTGCACCTGTGAGCACCTGGGGCACATGGAAATCTGATGGGTTAGTCTAGAAGAGTCAAAGACGGCATCTGGTTGGCAGTGCCTATGGGATTAAGATGTTTCTAATCCCATTAGTGAAAGCGTTCTCACCAAATCCACTGATGATCAACCCTTGAAGACTCAGCTTAAGGTTAAGTGTCCACAGAGCTCTTGCCCAGGGGGCAACTCTGCAGCCACAGAACAGCCCCAGACTAAGCTCCAGGGAGGTCACCGCTATCCGAGTGGCACAGGCAGGTGTCAACATGTCCATTTTCTTCTGCTTCCTTAGGAGGTGACTGAGTATGCATGTGGCTTCTTAGAATATCACTTCTCAACTTCCCGCACTGTCACACAGGAAGTGGCAGCAGTGTTGCCTAGCAACAAGCCATAAAGCACACTGGGCAGCTAAGGAGCTCCACCTCACTTTCTTTCTGCTAGTGTAGGTTATGCAAGTGGGAGCCCCAGGTTAATCCACCGTCTCCGCCACAGTTACCAAGATGGACATCAGGGACTCTGACACCGTGGAGCAGCCGTGCCTGGCTGACTCACCTCTGGACTCCCATGCCGCACACAAGAATATCCCCTTGGGGCCCCTTTTCTCTTTCCTTAAACAAAGCCACATTTCTCTCTCCCTGCAGCCATTCCCACCCCAACTCCAGTCAGAGAGCTTTGGGAGGGTATTCATAAGTGCGTGAGGGTGTAGCTCAATGGTAGAGCCCTTGCCTAAATGTGCAAAGCTCTGGGGTTTAACCTCTAGCACCACACACAATGCAGACAGTGATTACTGCAGATTTCTATACCCTTCAAAAATCACCCATCCCATATTCCTTTCTCATAACATATTTTTGAAAAGTAAAAGGATAATCCTAGATTTTAAAGCTACATCACCCCTGGGAAAAGTTGGGCAGAAGAATTGGTTTTGTTTCTGAGATAGGGTCTCACCAGGCAGTCTAGGCTGGTCTCCAACCCACGATCCTCGTGTCCTCCATCCAGGTGCTAGGATTATAGGTAAGGGCCTCTATGCCCAGCCCTGAGAAAGGTTCAAGTGGCTTTGATTACATTTAAATGCTTTAATGTCACATTCAACACATGGCTCTAACACCAAAACTGGGCGAGGACAAAACTAACACATGGCCACACCCAATGTTCTCGTAAACACCGAATGGAAAATAAAAACCCAACGTTAAAGGAAAGCAGCTCCTTCCGGTTAAGCCCTTTCTCAGTGAAGAGCAGTCTGCGCCAGGCACGTCTGTCAACCAGTTCAGGACCCGATTTGTATTAAAACTTTCAAAAGTAGTACTTTAATTATGACTGTGCAAAGTTTAAATCCCAGGGCTGAGGACGTAGCTGAGTGTCAAAGTTGCTTGCTTACCATGCAAATGGCCCAGGGTTCAATTCCCAGCACCACAAAAACAAAAAGTTTGAATTCCAAGACAACTCAACTCTCAGCAAGACTCTGAGCTTTGGAAGATTCAGATGGCTCAATTATCTTCAGGCCGATAATCCCAAGAATTGTGCAGATCAACCACGACTGCAGAACCGTCACTGCTTAGGCACACCGAGTCAGCAATGAGGGACCGCATCCTCTCTTCGTCGGTACACAAGCGCTGCAGCTTGGGATAAGCGAGCAGTCTCCTCAGGGGTATGAAAAACTTCTCTCCTTGACAGAAGGGCTGGGGAGTATTTTCTATTCTGGCCTTTTCAGCCTCTGTGAAGACTTCTCCCAAGAGTAGGTGAGGGGCTGGGGAGGCGTCCCTGTGCCCTGAATTAGGGCCCAGCTCCTCCCGCTCCCTCAGCATCCGTTGGTATCTAAGCCTCAAGTGTTCCACTTGTATCAGGAGCTCCCCGACCAGTACAAACTTAAGCACCCTTTCCTGCTGTAAACTCGGGTAGGAGGTTGTATAAACCTAAGGGAAGAAAAACCACACAGAAGACTGAAGTGTGTTTAAACCATCAGCAATTCAGTCACAAGCTGTGCATTGTAAAAGCCTTAATCTCACTGGAAATCAAACACATATAGATACTAGGTATCTGTTTTGCTTCCACTTCTAATGACAACTATATCTCAGGAGTGTTTCTACCAACAGGCACTAACCCAGTATTCCTTTTTTTAAAAAAAAGATTTTATTATTTGGTATGTATGAGTGCTTTGCTTGCATGTACGTCTATACAACATATGCATGTCTGGTGCTTACTGAAGCCAGAAGAGGGCATTAGATCTGATGGGACTGGAGTTAACAGAAGTTGAAAGCCTAACCAAACCTACAATCCAATGTTTCTACTTGCTATTACATGGAAATTAGTGTAAAAAGAAACAGTGGTTCAATCTAGAATCAGTGGTACATGTCTATAACCCCAGAGTTCCTTGAAAGACTAAGACAACTGCTGGTCCAAGAGATCAAGGCCATCTAGGCAACAAAGTGACACACAAGCTAAAGAAAATCAGGAATAAATGAAAATGATTCCATCAAGAGAAGAATGGATTCTTTTGAAAGATGAAGTAGGTTTTGTGCATTCATGTGTGCACGTGCCTGTGTGTTTATGTGTGTATGTGTGTACATGTATATATGCATACATTCGTGCATCGTGGGCTGGAGAGAAACTTGTTCATGGCTGTCCCTTTACTGTTGCTAACACTGAGATATTACAAAGGAGGCAGCAGCAGGAGTCCTCTCTGAAACATCCTAAGAAGGCCTCCAGTACACTGCTCTTTGTCACGTAAAGTCAAGGGGCAGGACAGTCTCAAAGGATGCAACAGACTGACCCTGACCCTGACAGGACTCATGGAGCCTGAAGCATCTTTCTAGATGAGCCTCAAAATTAGGTCACTTGGCCAGGTGTGGTGCTGCACACCTTTGACCCCACACTTGGCAGGTAGAGGCAGGCAGATCTCTGTATTCAAGAAGGGAGTGGTAGTGGTTGGCAGTCGTGTGGTAATGGCGGTAATGGCGGCAGTGTGGTAATGATGGTAATGGCGGCAGTGTGGTAATGGCGGCAGTGTGGTAATGGCGGCAGTGTGGTAATGGCGGCAGTGTGGTAATGGCGGCAGTGTGGTAATGGCGGCAGTGTGGTAATGGCGGCAGTGTGGTAATGGTGGTAATGGCGGCAGTGTGGTAATGGCGGTAATGGCGGCAGTGTGGTAATGATGGTAATGGCGGCAGTGTGGTAATGGTGGTAATGGCGGCAGTGTGGTAGGTGGCAGCTGTAGCTGCAGTCCTGGTCTCACCACCTGTCACATGACCCACGGACTTCTAGCCCTCAGCTAGTTCACAGGAATACTCACAGCTTTGTACACATGCCGGTCATGCTGCTGTGAAACACGGGATTCAGCCAGCTTCCTGCTGTTCTTCCTAAAGACACCGATCTGGGTGCAATATCCGACATGCTCAGACCCAGCTGGGGGTATCCCGACCCCAGTAAACTCCACACAATAATTGTAGCAGTTTGCCACTTGTAAAGCCCTGATATCAAACAACAAAGAGAAGTCACTTCTCTGCACATACAGTTCTGGTTAAACAACTTTATAAAAAATTTTATTTTTGGCTTTTCAAGGCAGGGTTTCTCTGTAATAGCCCTGATTGTCCTAGAACTCGCTTTGTAGACCAGGCTGGCCTCAAACTCAGAGATCTGCCTGCCTCTGCCTCCTGAGTGCTGGCATTAAAGGCGAGCACCACCACCGCCTGGTGTCAACAAACAATTCTTAAGTGACTTCTTGTCAGCAGTTTTAGGAAAAGCAGAAAATATATGAATCAAAGGACTTCTCAGCCAAGCAAGGAGGTGCGTGCCTATCGTGTTACTTGAACTGATAAGGCAGAAGGATATGACGGTTAAAGCTAGCCTGAGATACATAATGAAAATATTCCAAAGTTAAGCATCCCTGCACAAGTGTATGATGGGTCACCAGGACACCCGACATCGGTGGGGAACAAAGGCAGTGACACGTTTTAGGCTTCCAAAGTTACCTCAGGAAGAGGAAAGGGGGGCTACGGGACGGGCAGCACGCAGGTGTGGGTGAAGCCAAGAAGCCGCCCCACGCATGGGTGTGAGCACCCCTCACACTCCATAACCTCCCCACTCTGGTCCTCAATCTATGCCAACATTACAGGTGCCTCCTAAAGAGCATCCACTAGGCACACGCTCTTTTCTCCTGCGGCCCAAATGGGCTGCTTCTCTTGTGATCCGGCTACATCATGAGCCACACATGGAGACCTTGCTGAAATGAACTAAGAATTTGAATAAGACAGACATAGCACAGCTTACTTCCTATAACAGGATTGCTGCCAAACAAACAACAAACCAAAGAACCCTTCTGAGCTCACCAGGTCTGGAACTCCTTTCTGCTCCACTCGAATTTATGATCTGCATCCCTCAGGGACACCGTGGGAAACAGGGGGTTGAATTCAGCATTTGGTGTGGTGATGACAACCATGGATGGCGACAGGTATCCAAAAACCACTTCGGGAAATTTGGCCAGATCATCTGAATTCAGATGCTCTATTCTGAAATGGTTGATAAGAAAGGCAGAATTAATGCAGCTTCACTGGGTGTATTCTCCTAATTGACTTGGCAAAAATAATTCCTACCTGGATTTATCCCTTCTGATGATGCAGCAGCCCACAACCCATGATCAACTGTTCTCATATTTGAATCCTTCCCACTCCCAGTTTTGCCCAGGGTGACCCATCAACTAAGATCCATCCTCCGGTGCCCTCTGTAGAATTCATATCAACATTCCTTTTTAAAAAGTATCAGAACTTGTATATTCCTTGATTTAATTTCCCAAGAACACATCATTGCCTCTATGATTTCTTTTCAAAAACGACAGGATACTGCCAGACAGCTCAGCAATTTGAGCACGTGCTCCTCTCACAGGGGACCCAAGTGTGGTTTCCAGCACCCATGTCAGGTGACTCACAACCATCTGGAACTCCAGCTCCAGGGGATCCGATGCCCTCTGCTGGCCCCCAGGGCACCTGGACTCACATGTGGATATACGTGTGCAAGAATGAGGACCTAAGTTCAGATCCCCTGTACTCAGAAAAAAATCTGGCATGGGAACATACATCTGCAACCCCCAATGCTGGGGAGGCAAAGATCAGAAAATCTCTTGGGCTTGTTGGCCAGCCAGTGTAGACAATCAGCAAGATCCAGGGTCAATGAGAGACCCATCTCAAAAACACAAGGTGGTCAGGAATGGTGGCACATGCCTTTTATTTCCAGCACTCAGGAGGCAGAGGCAGGCAGATTCTGTGAGTTCAAAGTCAACCTGGTCTACAAGAGCTAGTTCCAGGATGGCCAGAACTACACAGAAAAACCCTATCTCAATAAATAAATAAATGAATGAATAAATAAACCAATACAAGGTGAGAGTAACTGGGGAAGACACAGGAAATCAACTAGTCTCCAGCTCCCAGGCATTTACGTTCTTGAGTACATAAACCCACACATATGTTCCCTGGGACAGCAGGTAGTTCAGAGCTGTAGCATCTGCTCAGCATGTATGAAGCACTTGATCAACACTCCATCCCGCCAAAATAAAAACATCTAACACTGAAATGCTATGCCAAATCCAGATTAAGGGATGTTCTAGAAAGCAGAAAGACTGAGCAACCCTGTTCCAGATGATTAATAGACACTCCAAAGACATCACTACTAAAATCCGCAGGCTAGAGGTGGTGGTGCACACCTTTGATCCCAACACTCAGGCGGCAGAGGCAGAAGGAGCTGTGTGAGCTCCAGAACAACCAGGGCTCCACAGAGAGATCCTGGCTCTATTTAGTACCAAAGCGTAAAATAAAAAATAAAACAAAGCCCACATTTTAAGTGATAATTAAGACTTGAAAATAGTTATAAAAGCTATCACTAGAACTTGTTAAGTGTTGGATGTGGACTATATAACATGACCATATACCATACACATCATTGTGAGCCTGGTTTTTGTTTTGTTAGGTGTTTTGAGACAAAGTTTCTCTGTGTAGCTCTGGCTGTCCTGGAACTTACTCTGTAGACCAGGCGGGCATCGAACTCAGATCTGCCTGCCTCTGTCTCCCGAGTGCTGGGATTAAAGGCGTGCACCACAGCTGGGCATTGTGTGATTTCTTAACACAACATACTATGGCTACATTAAGAGGAAGCACACCATCTTATTTTTTAATTTATTACTATTGTGTGTGTATGATGGAAGGACATGCATGTGCCATATGTGGAGACCAGAGTACAAGACTGAAAAACAGTTCTCTCCTTCCACCTTTACATGGATTCTGGAAAATGAACTCAGGTCTATAGACTTACATCGCCAAGTGACTTTTCCTGCTGAGCCATCTCGTTGACCCAAAGCATTTCTTCTTAGAAAAGATATTTATGGGCCTGCGATATGGCTAACAGGCTAAAGGGGCTTGCCTCCAAGCCTGACAACATGAGTTCAGGAACACACGAACACACACATACAATCTAATAAAAGTTTTAGGAAAATATCTTTAACATATAAGTATTTATGAGTAAAAGGCCACTGTCTCCAATGTACTCAAGTTGATTGTATTAAAAATGCATACAGGAAATTACACCTAAAAGAATAGCCTAAGTAAATGGAACCAAACATAAAGAATTAGTGAGCCTGGTAGTTTGTACCAGTACCTTGTACCTAATCCCAGAACGTCTGTAAGTCTGTAACTACAAGTAATAACAGAAACACGACAGGACCGGAGCTGGGGCTCAGCGGCAATGCCCTGCATCAGATCCCCAACACCTCAAACAATATGATTCATGGGAGGACTTAGAGGAGAGGGGGGGACAACATAATCATATTAATCTCAAAAGATAAGGCTGTTTTTGAAGACATTAACAAATACTACTAAATGTGGCATCACAAATTAACCCCAGCACAACAGAAGTATCACCACTACCCTACTCTTACCAACTGACAGACCATCCCAACAAAAGAAATATCTGAATTAAATGACTCATAGATCAAAAGGACTTAACATACAATCTATAGAATATTCCATTCAAACACTGCAGAATACACATTCTTTCCAGAAGCCCATGGAACTTTCTCTAAAGTAGATCATGAATTAGGACACCAAGCACGTCTTAACGAGTACAGAAAAACTGAAATGATTCCCTGTGTCCTGTCTGATTGCAACGCAGTAAGACTACAAATCACAGCAAGAGAAGGCCCCTAAAGGGCACAAAGCCCGGATTTCGATCCTTAGCACCACATAATACTGAGCATGGTGGCACACACCTCTAATCCCAGCACTTGGGAGGTAGAGGCAGAAGGATGAATCATTCGAGATTATATACAGCAATTTTGTGACCATGCTGGGCTATGTTACACAGGGGCTGGAGAGAGAGCACTGGCTGCTATTCCAGAGGACCAGAGTTTGATTCCCACCATCTAGATGGTGGCTCACAACTGCCAACTGTCTGTGATTCCAGTCCCAGGGGATCCAGCCCCCTCCATCCTCCTCAGGCACTGCAACTGCACACACTTACATGGCACAAAGACATCCACTCAAGCAAACACATACACATAAAAGTGAATTAAAATCTAAAAGCTAGATACATTATAAAAGAAGAAATACAAATAAATTTATTTTTATGCGTGTGAATGTTCTGCTTGCAAACCATATGCCCTCAGAGGTCAAAAGAGGTAGTTGGTGCCCATGGAATAGAGTCATGGATGGATGTTAGCTACCGTGTGGGTGCTAGGAACTGAACCCATATCCTCTGCAAGAACAAGTGTTCTTAATCACTGAGACATTTCTCCAGACCACAAAAGAAACTTTAACAGGAGTTAAAGGCCTATGTATATAATCTTTTAATTATTTCAGGAGGCAAAGCACCATGGGGAGGGAGAGAGTACACACGTATATGATAAGGACCAGAAGGAAGTAGTCACAGGTGGTCATGTGGTGAGTATACGAATGTTTCTGGAATTATCTTCAATTCTTGGAATTCCTAAGAAAAATACTAAAAGTAAAAGATACTCCCAGCTGATGAATGGTGATCATTTTACAAATAATGACATTGATTACTGAGGCTAATTCCTTCACATTTTTCAAAGTGGAGAGTCGATGCAACTTCCAAACTTACAATTCAATGCATGTTATCAAATCGAATCCAAGCAGGCGAGAGTCTTTCTCCACAACAGAGCCATGATACAAGATGACGGTCAAATCTAGATCTCGGGGTTTTACAAACTCCCCCAGGTAGGGAGACAAGTAATGCCTGCAAGAGAGCAGTCAGCAGCATCAGGAAACAACCGACTTAGCGATCAGGGCCGGGGGTACGGCTCAGAGCAGAGCGTGCACCTAGCTGTGTGAGGAGAGCCCTGAGACTCAAGGTCCTGCTTTGGTGTGTGTGGACTTACAGCTGTGATTCCCAGCACCCAGAGGTAACAAGAGAAGGAGTTCTCAGAGCTGCAGAACCCGGATCCCCTGATGTGAGTCCCACTCCGCCTGTTTTCCTCTGGTATTAAACACTAGGCCATGGGGCAGCTTCCTTCCACAGCGGGAAGTGAGGTCACTAAACATGACTTTAAATTTCCCACATTGTTCTCATTGCCACACTTTGCCTCTCTTTGGACATTTCAGCTCTTTAGAAGAGCAGGTTCAAAACAATCTAGAAATCTATGTATCAGAGAAGCAGAAAGGTGAATGCGGTGTGGAGGGACCAAGCGTATGCTACAACCCTCCCATGGAAGGGACACAGCCACGAGACTCAACCCACCACTTAAGAGAAAGGCATTAAAGACAGGCATGGTGGCACACTGCAAATTGAAGCTGAGGACACTTAGGCTATACCATAATATCTTGTGTCAAAAAAGAGGAAGAGTCCATCTCTTAGGTGACAGCCCCCCTGACCAAAGACTACACCCCACCTGGTGACAGTTCTACCACTCTAGGGACAAGCTTCCAACACAAGCACCTTTGGGAGATGAAGCACATCCAAACCATAGCACTAGAAGTATTACCCATTTGAATGTAATTTTTCTTCATTGATATCTACCCCAACAAGCAGCTGAATGCATGGATAGACTTTTAGCAGCTTTAGGAGTTTGGTATCACCACATCCCAGGTCTGCAACCTATAGATGAGACACGGCGTCATTTGCAAAACATTCACATCCAGAAAAGTAGGAGCTTTTAAAGCTAGAGGGTGCCCGGGAAAAGGGTTCAGGTTAGTGAGTACAAGAATAAGGACCTCAGTTCAGAGCCCTGACACCTATATAAAGTCAGATGTGGGAGAATGTGCCTATAACCCTATTTAGAACCTAGCCAAATCTGAGAGATCTGGGTTCTGTGAGAAACCTACCTCAAAAAACATAAGATAGGGAGTGATAGAGAAAGACACCCAATTTTGACCATTTTTGGGTCTCCACCCACACATATGTGCGTGCATGTGTGCATGTGCTCGCACACGCACCTCAGTGGAAGATTGTGAATCAGTAAGGAAAACAGTTATATGGAAGGATCTTTGGAAGTAGAATTGTATACACAAAAACCAAATTAAACTGAGACTTTTTAATCCTGCAGGTGAAACAGTGCTTGAGAAAAAGTCAGACAAAGCCATTCTTATTCAGAACAATTGCCTGAGGTTCAAAGTTATCAGAGCAAGAATCACAAGTTGAGTCTTAATGGGTAGCCAAACCACCTCCTGAGTGTTAAGAATTCTGGGATTACAGTACGCACCACTATGCCCTTTATGAGATGCTGAGGGTCAAACCCTGGGCTTTGAGCATGCTAGATAAGCATCCCACCAACTGCTCTATATCCCCAGGGAAACAATCACATTGAGCCATACAAAATTCTATATTGAGAAAAAAAAGGCCCTTCAGACCCTTCAAGTGGACAGATTTGCTGAAAAGGCTGCTGAGGCAGATGTGTGAACATCTGTAGAATAGCTAAAGCAACTAAAGGAAGCCTTTTCCAATTCCAGAGGGTCTGATATCCAGCTCCACTCTCTCGTCTCTCCTTCCCAAATTTGGCATTACAAAAGTTTGCGACTACACCTGAGAATACCATTCCCACCCCCTGTTTTTTAATATATGGTCTGGCTATGTTGCCCCAGCTGGTCGCTGACTCTTGGACTCTTGGGCTCAAGTGATTTATTTTTCATTTTTTTCATTTCTTTCTTTTCTTTTCTTTTTCTTTTTTTTTCTTTTTTCATCTCGCTGCATTTTTCTTGCTCACCACAGCACCTGGGTGGGAATCAGAGAACCTGTAGGAGTCAGTTCTCTCGGCTTCCACCAGGTGGACCAAGGGATTGAACTCAGGTCGTGAGACTTAACAGCAAGAGCCTACACTGGTTGACATGAGCCACTGCACCTGCTAACCAGGTGATTTCCACCTGAGCATGGAGCTCCCTGTGCTGTACAAGGCTAAAGAGACTCAGCTGTACTTCACACTCCAGGAAAGGGGTCCCGGTGAAAAACGACCTTCCTCCATTAAGGCTTAGCTAAGACTCTGGGTTTCCATTCCCTGCCTCAATGTGGAACATTACTATTTGTTTCTAAAATTTCCCTTAACCACAGTTTCCTCAAGCTCCTCCCCCAGACCCGCCCCATGCCACTGAACATTGTCTCCCCAGACTGATCAAAGAGGTTTCCCTCACTGACTCTTCCCAGCTAGACTGGGAAATGCCTGTAGAGCACCCCACTACTGTCAGGGAAAAGGGGAAGACTGAATGGAAAGCAAGAATCACTTGAGGCCAGGCACAGTGGAAGCAGAGGCAGGCAGATCTCTGGGTTCAGGGCCAGCCTGGCCTACAGAGTAAAATCTAGGGCAGCCTGGGCTACACAGAGAAGCCTTGTCTCAAAAAAAAAAAAAATAAAAAAAAAAAAAAAAAAAAAAATCACTTGAGCCCAAGAGTTTGAGACCACTCGAGGCAACATAGGCAGATCTTATATTTTATAATAGACTGGGGGTGGGGGAGGTAAGGCAGGTGTAAAGGCAAGCAACTCCAAACTTGGGGGAGAGAGGCAGGAGAGTGGAGTTGGAGGCCATCTTGAACTCTAAGACCCTATCTCCAAAAATAAACTTCACTCATTATAATTAAGCTGCCCTCACTGTTAAAAATGCTGCTGGCCCTTCTTGGGACTATCATAAACAATTTCCCAATTTGTGACTTTGGTCACTCCTCCGTGACTGAAAAAGAAAAAAAGAAAAGAAAAGAACAACCGCTTAACTCTGAAACACGTGGGGCACTGGCCTTAAGGTCTCCTCGCTACTGCAATGATCTCTGCTTCGAGAAGCTGAGGCAGGGGGTGACTTGAGTATGAATTAGAAGCCAGACAAAGCCACACAGCAAAACCACAAAAACCAGTCTTTTTTTTTTTTCTTTTTGACAGTTCTCTACCTGTATTACAATGTACCATACTTCTATCCACCACCCCAAATCACTCAAGTCTGTCTCAGGCACGGGATGTCGCTTAGCGGTAGAGTACTTGTCCTGCATGCCAACGCTCCTGTCTGTAACCCTAACACCGGGAGGCAGGGAGAAGTCTATCCTTACTAACATATTTGATCAACCACTTTAATAGGGAAATCTTAGTTAAAAAAAAAAAAGATAATTACCTTCTTGGGTTCATGGCGATCCACTAAATCTCTAACGAACTGGTACCGTTGTTTGTATAATGGCGGTTTAAACCTAATTACCTTCTCTGGACAAACTTCTTCAAAATTATCATCAACCACACTATTGCACTGAAAGATTTTAAACAACAAGTTCTCACTCATGACTTTAGATATTTAAGAAGAAAACAAAGAAAATTTCTTCTCCCCAGTTAACTGGGGCAACAACAACCTCCATACAGCTTAAACCTGAAATCATCAGGCAGCATCCCCTCCACACCACACTACACCACACCCCACCCCCTCTTTTCAGCATGCTAGAGCTGGGCTTTGGGCTTCCATAGCTAATCTTCAGGGGTCATTTTACTGTGTGAACTGCCAAAGGCTGTGGTCCAGACAGACCAGAGGTTAGGAGACACTGGGCAGACCACAAACTCCCTCAGCTCCCAATCTTTGCTCAAACCTCCAAGGCCCCTTCTCTAGCAGGTTTTGATTCAGGGTCTGAATCCCAGGCTGTAGAGGGCACAGTTTTAGCAACAACTGCTGAACTCAGTTTAAGGTGAATTTCCCACGCTTGACACCTGAGCACCCTCACCATCTAAAGCTCAGATTCTAGACAGTATTTCCTCTTAATTTTCTAGGCACATACCCTATCTTCCCATCCCCTCCTCCTTTTACACATCTCTGTCTATACAGGTTTCTCCATCCTCGGCGGAGTTAAACCCTACTGCGATGATTTTGCAGCCACAATCCTAAATCAGAATACCCTTTTTCAGCAGGTCCAGGAGAAAAAAATGTTAGCTGTATCTGCAACAGCTGTGTCTACTATGCCTATCAGTGCTGGAAAGCAGCGAACCAGACGAAACCTGTACTTAGAGCAATGATAGCCAATAAACGCAAAGGACCAAGTGTGGCTGGGATTGAGATTGGTGGTGACCACCTGTCTTGCATGAGCGAGGCCCTGGCTTCCATCCCCAGCAATACAACAAAACATACCCCACACACGCAACCAAGCCCCTGCTAGCTTTCACTCTGTCTCTCTGAACCCCATTATTTCACAGTTGCTAGTGCTAACATTAATCAGGGGAAGGTTTGGTGCCTTCCTCAAGTGCCCAAATGCCGCACAGCAGGGATGTTCAGCTTAGGTCTCCAAGTGTGGTCCCTAAACCAGTATAGCGTCTTCCTGGAAACTTAAAGAAACGCCAAGTCTCAGGCCTCAACAGACCTCCTCAGACAAGACTCTACACTTTAAACAATCCAGGTAAAGGAAAGGAAAATAAAATCCCCAGGGTGACCCATTTGTCTAGAGGTATTTTTTTTAATAACTAACATCTGTATTTTTTCTTTATATACACCAAATGTGAATATTTCGCTGATCATTGATGTCAATCTTATTCAGTTCACAACTCAGGGAGACGCAAGGGCCTAACTAGGCTAATTTGCCATTTCTCCACAGTACACCCCTCCAAGACCCCTGTAGGTGGGTGAGAAGGGTGGCATTTACCGGTATGTTGTTTTCTGCCACATCCATTTTGTTTCCAACTTCCGTTGCGACAAAAATAATAGTGATAAGGCAGATTTATCCTCCGGGCTCTGTTTCAGAGACTCAGTGGCAACTCAGCTGTAAAAGCCAAATGCTCCCTTTTCACACGAGACACCTAGAAGAAATGATGGCCCAGATGAAAAAGGGGTAGGTGTTGGCTTTCCAACCTAACTCTGGCCCACAGGACTCATGCAGTAAATACTGAGACACTGGCGATGGGGTCTGAAGTCCCAGCTTGGCAAAGAACGCTGCTACTCTTGTTTGACCATAACCAGTTCCGGGTGATACAAACTTATTGCTAAGATCCTCGACCTCGGGGGATGAAGGCTCCTCAGTTGGTAGAATGCTTACCTAGCATGCATGAAGTATATCCGATCCCCAACACCGCATAAAACCAGACCTGGTGGCACATAGAAGTTCAAGGTCAGACTCGAATTCTCACCCTCAACCAAATACTGCTTTCAGTAACTTCTCAGGCACCGCCGAATAAAACTTGGGGGTGGGTGGGAAGGCTGACATTAATAAGCCAGTGATACTGCAACACTGATCCAATCCGGCCTCAGACTTGAAAGTTGGTATTCTACTACACACGTTTCTATCATTTAGTCGGAAGTAGGCAAGATTTCAACCACCAGCTGTTGGGTGATTTCTTGGCTCCTACCAGGAACCTCACTTGGGGTGGGGGTGTCAGTGTCCCATCTGTCGCCCGCGTCTACCCGCAGCATCACTCACCCAAGAAAAACCGGGTAGCCAGATCAAGCACCGCCCACTCCCGTGTAGCTGCGGCCCCGCCCCTGCCTTCCGCGCAGCCGCTCTGCCCCGCGCCGGCTCTCCGCACCTGGCTGGCCGCG